AAAAAAAAAAAAAAAAAAAAAAAAAAAATCCCCAAACGAAAAATGGAGGAAGAAACGTTTTTCCTCCGATTAATGCTTCTCCAAATACTCAGGAAGTATATGTCAATAAAACTGTTTAAAACACACACACACACACACACACACACATTTCTTCAATGAGATAACTATCAAAACCAGAGCTAACTGAAAAGTCAGTAACTTACTGTGATTTCTAAGTGGGATATGTCTCTCATGATGCCACTTCCTAAACAGATTAACACCATGAAGAAACCAAATTCCCGAATGGAGCTAATTCTTCCGATTACTATATCACCACGCTCAATATCTCGGAAGAAAAGCTCTCTGCGATCCACACTAGGCATCTCCATGAACTGCTCTAAAGGTGGCATGACTGCAAAATGTTCTGCAAAAAATACAATTAGAATCATAAACAACAGTTTGGATTTTCATTTACTCTGGAATACTGTTAGAGCAACCATTCGATCCTAAAATGATTTCAAGACTAAACCCACCTTCATTGTCTTCGTGAACTTCGGACGCTGCAGGTCCATCTGATTTCCAGGAAAGTGCAAAGAGCAGATCTGCTTTTTTGGAGATGAATTTTTGTATTTCGACATTGTCGACTCTCTTCTCTTTTCTTAAAAAGAAACAACTTATGAATACTGGTTTATCTGCAAAACTTTTTACCTCCAAACTTATGCTTATGGCTTCCACTGTCCAACCAGCTCTAAGCTCGAGGTCTCACGTCCTCGGACAGTTTTAAACAGGAATTCGCTCATTCGCCAACCTGAAGGTGGAGGGCGGGGAAACCCTAACAAGAGACACCTCCAGCCTCGGGGATAAAAGCCCAGGGGACTCTAGTCAAAGAACGCGCGCCCGGCCGATCATCGCCGGCGGGTTCGCTCGCCGTCCGCGTCGCGCTCACGGGTCTCTGACCCGCCTCCGCTCAGCCCCCTGCGCCAGCGAGGCGGACTCGCGCGCGGGGCTTCCAGGCGCAGTCCGGGGCGGCGGCTGCGGGCCCGGCCGGGGCCCCTTCCAGTTTCGCGGCGGCGCGGCTGTCCCATTACCTGCCCTGTACGTGCGGCTGGGGCTGAGGACCCCGAGCGGGCTCCGCCGCCGACCCCAGGAGGCTCCGGAAGTGCGGGTTGTCCTGCTGCTCACTCCGGAGGAGGAAGAGCAAGGACGGCCCGTGGCAATTCAGGGACTGCCGCAGAAGGTCCCGGTCCATGACGCGAGGCCGCAGGTCCGACGGCCTGTTCTGTACCCACTACATGAGCAGGGCGCTCTGTCAGGCTGAGGAAGCAGCCGGAAACACACAGCACTCTCCACAGCAGGCTCACCTCTTCCGGAAGTGCTCCGAGCCGCCCGCAGGGGGAGCGGGGCGGAGCCCAGCCTAGATATCGCGATACCTGGCGAGACTACGGAAGCCGGAAGGAGAGGGCTAAGGGGTGTCAGTGAATGAGGGATGTAAGTGAGAAACTTGCCTTTAAAAAGATTTAATTGACCTTAGGTCGAAATAGCCCGAGTTGTACTGTAGGGTGACTAATTCCGTATTTACAGAGGCCAGAGTAAGAACCCCAGGTAATTGGCACAAGTTCCTTATTGCTGTGTTGATCAGTGCCTATGTCTTGGGCAATAACTGCAGTAAAACAGCTGCCCTGGAAAGTTTATTTAAACCAGAGCTGAAAAAAAGGAAAGGAAATAACATGTTATTTCGAGTTGTGTTCTCTGTTCATACCCCACTTATTAATGACGATTTTAGAATTATGAAACCATAATATCTTTAATGTACAAACATGCTGTAATAGTTTTATACCTTTATTGTATTAGATGATAAGCTGTATTCATCAAGGGAGTGTTTATTGAATGCCTGTTCAGAATACCTATACAGAGTAGTGACAGAAGACAGGAACTCTAAACAGGTGTACTCAAAGCTCAGACTGGGGGTTTCGTTTTTGGTTAGTACTGGCACTGAGTTGGCAGTAGCCACAGTGGGCAGGTGTCCATGGTAACTTTGTTCTTCACTTGCTGAGTGCCGCTCCCCCTGCAGAAGATGAAGCCTCCCTGGATCTCTGATGGGAATGGAAGTGGTGAGGAGAAGCGAGGAAATTAGTCTTCTTGCATCTCATTTGGGAGGAACTAGCTCACATATGGAGTCTCTCGAGGTGGGCATGTAAAGGCAATACTTTTTTCACTTCCTGCTTTTTAACTTTAAAAATTTTCTCTAAGAAATTTCCATGTTAAGGGATATGAATAAATGAGTATAGGCTGTGGTGGAGGTAATAGGAGTGAGAGAAATGGGGAAGGTAGAGTATGAAAAACAGTTCTTTGTTGTCTGCCTGGTAGGCCATTTCCTTTCTAAATAAAACATAGGGACTTCTGAAAGCTCTTCCCAAAGCACCCATTAGCTAACCTTTTCATGATAAGAAAGTTGTATAATGTGTGCAATTTAGCAGAAACACCAGTAATTTGGTTTTTAGTGTATTCCTTTGATCCTGTCCTGCACTAAGCTACAACCTCAACTGTTTTATTTTTAGACAGTATCTCATTAAATGCCCAGACTGGGCTAGAACTTGGAATCCTCCAACCTTGGCCTCCTAGAGTGCTGGGTTTACAGATGTGACCACCACATCCATTTCTCTAATTTGAAACTTGAATCCAAATGCATCCTCCCTCCTTTAATAGACACAACTACAGACCCCAGAGATACAAAGATGAAGGAAACAAGAATGCAGGAACTCTATGGTTCTTGAGTGGGTTACAACCTAATGGGGGAGTAGACATAAGAAATAAATATGACACTGTGGTAAATTCTGTTGAGGATGCCTACCAGGCTGTGTGCTTACACTGATCTCTTTTCTTTGGAAAGTGCAATGATGGCCACTGGTGGGGGTAAGAGAGGAGGAGAGAGGCAATTATGTGCGGTTGAGGAGGAAGAAAGAATATCATTAAAGGAGTAGAGTTTCAAAAAAGTAAGATGCATTGTGGAGACCAAAAGTGTGTACTGGAGATAGGTAGGGGTATTTTAGTTGATAGGCATTTTCATTGTGTGAGTTTATCATTTCATGAGAGCTCACATTGACAGGAAGAGGCTCCCTGTTGCACTGTGCACATGTGCACACAGGTTAAATTCATGATTTTTTTTTTTTTTAAGCAAAGAACACAGAAACTTGGGTGAAGCAAGGTGGCTATATCAAGCAGAAGCAGGAGCAGTGTATTTTAATGTAACTTTTCCTGGCTTTCCAAGTTTCCCAAGATAATGTGTAGAGGTGCTAGTTTATTTGCTGAAGATAGTCTTTTGTTTAATGTCAGAGATTTTATATTATCATTTGTAAAGGTCATACAAATACCCTATGACTTTATAAGAAATATTTGTAGAAAAATTTCTGGTTTTTGATACTGATAGAAGCAATCTCAAGAGGGCTTCATCTTCGTGTGAAGGGTCAAGGGAAGGCAAATAGCAAATAAGAGCCTGGGAGTCTGTTATGATACTTCCAACTTTGATTTTTTAGCAACTTTTTATGAGTCCTCTCTTTTTTGAATAGTAGAACTTGCTTTTAGAGGAATTTTAGGTTCATAAGCAAAAGTGAGGTGAAGTTACAGAGATTTCCCATAAATATATGCCATGATTGAAATATATGGTGAATGTTTACATTTTAAAAAAATATGAGAAAAGACACATTGCTGGTTTTTTTTTTGACAGTGAATTAGACTTTTCTGCTCTTTGTCCTAAGATTAGCCTTACAGTTGCTGCCAAAGAGTTTTTGGTGTCTGACAGGGTTATCTCAGAAGTATCCTGGACCTTCAACCTTTTGGAAGGACACATTCTGCAGACAGAGACTTCAAATTATCTTTTTTTTTTTTGTATTCTTAGGGAAGGATTTACAGGGTTAAAGGGTTTCACTACTAGATCGGACTCGTAGTGATCCATCTGTTTACAGCCTCCCAAGAGCTGGGATTACAGGCACACACCACCACACCCAGTCTCTTCTGATGATCTTTTTTTTAAATTTTATTTTATTGAGAAACAAATATGAATCAGACAGTTTCAGAGCTGATTAATAGGACAGTTTCAATAACCAATACATTGTACATTATTATCTTCTTAGTGATTATCCATAGTACAAGAAGCTGACAGGATATCCTGTCCAAACACTATTAGTACACCTCTTTCTACTCATTGAATTAAGTGAAAGCAACTGTATATCTATCCTATTTTGTATATACAAATATATAATGTTCTTTCCTTTGTATCCCCTTTTTTTGTTTAGTCCTGTCAGAGGTGGGTATTCTATTGGCATCTAAATACCGTAGGTGCTTGAATTCAGCAAAACAATCCAACACTGTCCAGCAGTCTATAATAGTAGTGGGTTATCCTCAGAAGTTATTGACTTGAGCCTTTTACAGCTCATCGTATTAATATGGCTTTACTTTATATACCTCGTTTTTATACTTTTCTGCTGGATGGTTAAGACCAAGATAAACAAGACCTGTATAACAGGAAATGTAACTTTTGTATCTGATAAGGTCAGTCAAGTACCCTCAGAATTTATCCTGTAACCTTGTACTGCACTTTGTAGATCCTTTGTCAGTGTCAGCCATGAGGATGAGTCATGGCCATTGCTTGGCCAATTTGCTCTCTGTGAAAGCCTGAGAGAATGTTTTCTCTACATGTGACTCTCCTTAGGCACACTCTACATCATTGATCTCATGGCACATTGCCATTAATTCCTCTCAAAAATGTCTCCCTTGCTCTGAATACACTTTCCTATCTTTTTTGCCACTTTCTGAAGCAGTTCTGAAGTTCTCTTTCAGGCATGTCTTTTGTTGCTCTGTTGTGGCTGTTTTGATACCCTGATTGATTAAAGCCATTTACCTTTCACGGTCATTTTGACTATGGAGAAGAGCCAGGAGTTGCATAGTGCTTGAGCTGGTGCATAAGGTGGATAAAGACATAACATAATGTTTCTGTGAGCCTGTATTTTTGTTGGATAAGACACAGTATCAGCAGTTTGTGTATTTTCTGTTGTACCTCATGCAGATAGTCACAGAAATCTTCTAGAACTGCTTCAGAAAGTGACAAAAATGATGTGATAAGTGTGTTCAGAAAAAAGGAGAGAATTTTGAGGTGGATTAGCAGCAATGCATAATAACTTTTTAAAAATGTAAACATTCACTGTATATTTCGATCACCCCTTCTACCCTGTGGCTACACATACATAACTTTCCCTCATTATCAGTATCTGCCACTACAGTGGTGCATTTGTTACAACTAAGAAACCTAACTGACAGCATACTGTTCAAACTCCATAGTTTAACTTAAGTTCATCCTTGATGTCCTACATTTTAGTTATTGACCAATGTATAATTATTAGAGACAGCTAAGTTCCATAGAAATATTGTAGGTAGTCAGGAAGGGCTAGGCCTCCAAGGAGTCAGCGCAGAAGACAAGATTCGTTACAGCTGTGAGTGGTGGTGCATTCCTTGAAGACAGAGACTCAAGACAAAGATGGAATCACTAAACCTACATCCCCTGAGGATAAACTATAATGACTGATATTGTAAATAGGCATTAATTACCTGGGTAGGGGATCAGGACCTCGACCATCCCTTCCAGGAAAGGTCCTTGCTTTTTCTGTGCACGTTTGCCATGTGCTTCCTGCCCCATAGCATCAATGTTACCTAAGTGACTACGTTTGTGATCTTCTCATAAGTTTTGTCACCTTAAACCCACCTTGTGATTTTTCTCTATAAAGCTTCCTTTGAGAAGTGGGCTTGTAGGCAACCCACTTCCTGGGTGCCCTTCTTTCTCTCTTAGAAGCTTGCTTTCCTTCAATAAATATTTCCTACTTTTAACCTCCACCGTTCCTTAGAATTTATTCTTTGATTTTTGGGGAACACAAATTTGGCATATCAGACATCTAGTAGGTTGGGAATTATATTTCTCTTACATTGTTTGGACTATTTGGAGGTCCTAATCCCTGTATCATAATGATGTATGATCACCATTGTAGTATCATATGAAATAGTTACACTGGTCCAAATGCATCCTCTGTGGTCCATTCTTCTCTCTTTTCCCAGAACACCTGGCAGCCATCAAATGCTTACTGTCTCTATATTTTTCGTTTTGCAAAATATCATATAATTAGAAGCACACAATATATAGCTTGTTTTAGGATGGCTTCTTTCATTTAGTAATATCCAGTTAAGTTTCTTTTGTGTCTTTTCATGGCCTGATGCCTTGTTTCATTTAGCACTGAATAATGTAACATTGTCTGGATATAACAAAATTTATTCATTCAGTGAGAACATCCTAATTGCCTGAAGGCTTTGGAACTTAGGACTAAAACTGCTATAACATTTTCATGCAGGGTTTTGTGTGAACTAACTTTTCAACTCCTGTGATTAGTACTGAGGAGTGTGATTACTGGGTCACATGGCAAGAATGTTTAGATTTGTAAAAACAAAAAGACCAGACTATTTGTAAACAAAGTGGCTACGTGACTGCATTCTTGTCAACACTTAGAAATTTTCTGTTGCTTCACATCATCACCATCATTTGATGTTGTCAACGTTCTGGAGTTTTGCCATTTTAGTAGATATATGGTGGCATCTCATTGTTTTAATTTGCATATCCCTGATAACCTGTGATGTGGAACATCTTTTTTTTTTTTTTTTTTTTTGCAGAACTGGGGATTGAATTCACACCCTTGCGCTTGCCAGGCAAGCGCTTATTCCACTGAGCCATCTCCCTGGCCCCTCTTTTTAAATGCTTATTTGTCATCAGTACAGTTCACAACCTTGATTCTTTCCACAGTTCTGGTTGCAAACTTAATTGGATGAGAACAGAATCAAATTCAATGGTTAGGTTCAATTTTTTTTATGTTTCCATTTTTATTTGTTTTCAAATATAAAAAATGTCAAGATCCTTACACCAGTTATCTCAGATGAGACCATGCAAAGCAATTCATTGTGTACAGCAATCACTTGTCCCCCTCAGTGTTTTCTACTTTATACAGTGGTGTGACTGACAACAAACAGGATGTCCTGTACTTGGTTGGAAAATGGCATCTCTTTACAAAAACATGCAGGGTAGTTCCTACTTTGTCTACAAGTCAATTTACAGTTAACAGCTTATTTTGTTTCCATAGGGGGCACATGAAACAGAAATTTAGCTGCCCAATTTTATTCAGCTACCCCACAAGCACAAAGGACAATATAAATACAGTGAATTTGGAGAGCTGGGATAGTAGACGTTATTGACCTTATGGATAAATTAGATTTGATTCTCATCCAGTTTGGTTCATGAGCAGAATCATGGACAGAATTGAGTTTGTGAAGCCAGGTAATGCTGTGCCTGTTTTTTGATTTGTCTGTTTTAGGTCTTTAGCCCATTTTTAAATGATTGATTTTTTTTCTTATTGTTAAATCTTAAGAATTCTTTGAATATATTTTTTGAAAATACTTTGTAGCCTGTGACTTGCCTTTTTGTTTTCCTAATTGTATCTTTTGTGGAGTAGCAAAATTTAATTTCAATGAGATTTACTTTATCAATTCATTTTTTCAGGGATCATGCCTTTGGTATTGTATCTAAAATGTCATTACTATCATTTAGATTGTTTCCTATATTACATACTTGGAGTTTTATAATTTTGTACTTCACATTTAGATTCATGATTCATTTGAAGCTAACTTGGTGTATGATATGAGGCCCATGTGCAGATTGATTTTTTTTTCTTTGCATGTGGATATCCCCTTGTTTCAGAACCATTTATTGAAAATGATCTTTTCACTACTGTATCACCTTTGTTCCTTGGTCATTTGCCTGTACTTATGTGGGTTGGTTTTTGGGATTTTGATTCTATGCATTGGTCTGTCTAGTCTTGTAAATTTTGTGTTCATTAGTATGTGTTTCAGTACATAATGTTTCCATTCCTTATGTGATGTTGGTACGTGTACATAACACATCTTTTTTTGTGTGTTTGTGTGTGTGTGTGTGTGTGTGTGTGTGTATGTGACTGGCTTAGCCTGCCCTGGGGGTGGTACTGGCTCAGCATGTGGTCCCTGTGCTTGCCTCAGCTTGCCTAAGCAGGCACTTTATACTGCTGAGCTATCTCATTGGTCTCCCATAACACATCTTGATTCCTCTTTTCATTCCCATTGTCTCCCCTTCTTACCTGCTCTCTCCATCTCCTGATGTCCTTCCCATTTGAGGGGTATCCCCCTACTTCTGATTATCCTTTATTTTGCTCTCTATTTATAATTTGGCTTTCTCTTATAAGAGAAACCGTGTAATAGTTACATTTATGTGTCTGATTTATTTTAGTTATCATAGCCTCAAAATACATCCATTTTCCTACAAAGGACTCAAATTTATCTTTCATTATGGCAGAGTAGGAGAACAAATGGCCAGTAAATATTTGAAAAAATGCTCAACATCTTTGGCCAATAAAGAAATGGAAATAAAAACAATAGAGAGATTCCATCTTACCCCACAAGAATGGCCATCATCAACAAATCAAATAATAACAAATGCTGCAAGCCTGTGGGAATGGGTTGCTGGGGTATCCCTTTACATTTTTATTGGGAATGTAAACTAGTTCAACTATTACGGAAATCAGTATGGAAATTCCTCCAAAAACTAAAACTAGACATTCCGTTTGACCCAGGCATTCCCCTTCTAGGTATCTTCTTGAAAGAGAAACATATTACAGTGAAACATGCATGCCTATGTTTATAACAGCACAATTTTTAGTTACTAATTATTGAAAGCATATATGTCCATTTGTCAACAAATGAATGTCTGTTCTTTCATTAATACCACCTGGTTTT